CTACTTCTGTCTTCTTTTTCGAAATAGATTTATACGGAAATGATATTGTATCCATTGTATTTCTATCGTTATTATTTAATATTGTATCCATCAAGTTTCTATCGTCATTATTCGATATTGTATCCATTGAGTTTCTATCGTTATTATTCGATATTATATCCATCAAGTATCTATTGTTATTATTCGATATTATATCCATCAAGTTTCTATCGTCATTATTCGATATTGTATCCATCGAGTTTCTATCGTTATTATTAAATATTGTATCCATTGAGTTTCTATCTCTGAGTACACGCATTCTGTAACATTGTTATGTCTATTGGTTTTTAAATTGATGTTTTAAATGATTGTCAGGGTAACAGTCCATTAATAAAACACCCTTTTCACCGATCATAGCCATCTATTTCTGTATTTCTGTATTCATATAATGAAAATATTGAAAGAAAAAAAGTGTGCTGTATTCTGAACAGGGAAATTCTAATTCAGTCATTAACGCCACTGTCTGGAATTGTAAAAACAGATTACATAATAGTAGTGAGGGCTAAAAAAAAGTATATAGCAATGATTCAATGTATCCAACAACAAAAGCAGAACAGTCAGTAATTATATTTCACAGCAAGCAAACACTGATTTTAAGTGGCTTTGTGTAAATATTAAGTCATGTTGTAATTTGCTCTTTGCCAAAGTGCCTATTTTCGAGAATATCCACTTACCAACACTTCAACTCGAAGGTTAAGGGTAATGGCAACGGGTACCAAAATAAAAAAGGTAAGTCAAGTATCAATGAAGGTGTGGACACTAGTAAGAAGAAGAAATACACAAGAAGAAAGGCTTGAGGGTAAGTCTCCATCCATAATTTGCAAAAGGATCACATGTCAATGTCACTGATATTTCTGTATGACTTAAAGACTATCTTATTTTTGATGACACAGTCTTAAATCTAGTCCATTTGCAATCCTGTTAATACGGGTTCCTGACCAACATTTTACTGGATTTGCGGGATAATACAGTATCATCAGTACACTGTCCTTTTTGGTGTACATCTGCTAGTAAGTCTGTTGAGAAAACTAAACTCTACCAACACATAGATCAGGACAGAATCAATATAATCATTGAGCCCCCATCTGTTCCCTGTACATCCATCATACAGATCAGTGGACAGAGAGTTGCAAAGCGACCATTCTTTACATTGAATCTGATTATGATTCCTATGCTCATCTGTACCAGAGGTAAAAGGGTTACCACTGGTATCAGATCACCTATCGCTTTTGAACCAATATGTTCTGCTTTAAAAGGTCGCATATCAGATCAGCTGTGTCTGAGATTGTGTAGCGAGAAAATGCAACTGGCAATATTTTTTTTTTACTAAAGTGGGTTCCCTGATATTAACGTAATTCATTTGGCAGTGTATCAAACCAAATAATTTTATTGCTCCGAATGCTTACTTGCACATCGCAATTCTGTCAACAGGCAATTTTTGATGAAGTTTGTGGTCAATGAAGCGGTGTGCCAGTTCTACCTCAGTACATAACCATGTGTTCATGAAGATGTGCAATGTTTGATAGTTCAACTTTACACAAAGGATATTGTTGTGTACCCTTACATCGGGCATTGGCTCCTCCTCCACCATCAAAAGAGTTGCTCCCGTAGCATCTACTGTGATAGAGGATTACACCTCAGCTTACAAAACATCTTGTTGTCTGAGGATGGGAATAGGAATGAACAATGCCGTTTTCTATCCCTTGGAGAAATCACAGAAACAAATCAGAAATTGAGCTGCACCGTTGTCATGTCAGAATTCATCTACAACTAATGAGCACAAGGAAGTGTTCAAATCCATAGTGCATCAGATACTACATGCCAACTTATTCAACAACTCCTATTTAATGTAGAAGTGTCATTCCAGAACACATCCCACAGATGGATTTCAAGTGCAAGCGCATCAAGAGATTTAACAGACTGAATGTTACAAAAGAAATTGTTGTGTTTATCGAATTTTGTCTGAGATCTGAAGGATATTTGAAACTGGTATATGGTGACGGCGTGGTGGTGAAACTAAGTAGGTAAATTTTGACTGGCAATGGGACAGATGCAAAAAATTGAACGGGACACTCACAATGCTAATATTTTTAACATAAATTCATAGACAACATCTCAACAAACTATCAAGCAAAGGAATTTACTTTTATCATTTCTTGTTAATATTCATTCCCAGTTTTATGTTCGTATTATATTTCTCCCAAGTGTTACCAACAATGATTTTTGTACCTACAAAGCAATGGAGTATTCTAACTACGGTACCCCTCGTTCCTTGTGGCCACACATCAAGGGCATGCTGTACCCCTCGTTCCTTGTGGCCACACATCAAGGGCATGCCGCGTCCGGTGTTTCGATTAACTGTCACGTGAGTGGGTATGTAACTTTATTGCGTCTACAACAGTCTTTGGAGTGTCTAGGAAAGTGTCTGGGGATGTTGCAAAGTCCCTTGGTAATTACCTATCGGGTGCAGGAGTTAGGTGTATGTAAATATCTTGCGCCTGCTGTAATTCATGATATTTAGTCAGATGCTGAGTTGAAATTTATTATGACCTTTCGCAACAATAAAATCCATGTATTTCACAGTTGATACTATTGGTTACTGCAAAGAAAGCACCATTTACAGTGGGGAATATCAATATCATTTTAAGTCTAGGTAGAAACGTCTGTTCACTATGTGGTGAAGGAATTTATGGAGGGCTCGACACGATCACAGGCTATTGTGAACCTAAATGATTAATTCAAAATAGTGCTGAACAAAGTCATGTTTTACGATAAATTACTGGCAGTTTTAATATTTATTCAGTATATACGTGATTTGAAATAATAAGAAGAAAACAGAACACTTCATAACTCAAAGAATGCACAATATTACTGAATAATAATACTGAGTATTACTCCAAGATCTAGATGTTGGAGATTTCAACGATTTATACACAACTTATTTAATCCAGCAAAAACATTCTAGGCATAAACGTTTCCCCTAGAATATTCTGATTTGACTTACACTACAGGCTTAGATATTCTTAACTATGTGATATTAATGTCAATAAACATGGAAAAAATTTCTATGACACAAGTTATAGACACAACTGCACATAATAAAGCTTTGACTGTCATGAGCGACGGAAAAGAAGACAGCTTTTTAAATTTGCATCAATTTTGGTTTCCAAGAAAACTGGAACATTTAAAGTACATGCAAGACAAATAGTTCATGAGTTTCTTCGATCTTTGGTAAGAGTTCATCTGGTTTTCCTTGCAGTTTTCAATATCTCTGGTAAGAATTCTTCTGTTTTTTTCACACAGCAGTTTCCTCTGTTTCTGGTAAGACAGTAATATGGGAATCTTCAACTTCTTGGGAGTGCCTTATTTGACTCTCAGACGCATACATGCTTCTTGTTCTTCATGAATTGCAACACACAACTCATTGTTTTTACACTGTAATGAAATAAATTAAATAAATATCTTAATTATATGTATATGTAATCACAGAAGAAAACATGTGTACGATATACATGTGGTGGTACTACATAAAGTCTGTGATTTATAATTTGCAAAACAATCAGTGTAAAATTGAGATTCAACAGATCATAAAGATATAAGTCTTTTGCAAAGCAACAAAAACTTCATCAGACAAGCATAATATGGTTTGTTCACCCAATAGTACCATCCACAATTTGAGAAACAGTAACTTACTCTGATATTTTACCCATACTATTCGAGCAATTGCAGTATTACCTATCAGGTTAGTATCTTCAGTCCAATAATTGCTTTCCAAGCTTGGGTCAAAAGAGACACTGGTAATCAACTGATTATCAAATAAGCAGAACTACCTGATGCTCTCAACACTAAAAACAGATCGACAGGTGAGGACCAGAAGATGTTTCCAAGATTGTCAAATAATACTAGTATAAACTCGACAATCATCCTGAGAACGAAACTTTACAGTCGTCACTGTGAAAAGTTCAAAAGTTTCCCCAGACATTAGAGATATACACTCACATCTAAATCTTGATTCTCCTGGAGTAGATCTTGTAAAATTCTTTGAAGCTCTTCTTCGTTGTCCTGTTAATCAGATTTAAGGAAATATCTAGAACCAATGGTCGAGTTTGGGGTTTACTGCTACCATGTGCATGATACTGTCATATTATGTAAGCACATCTGGTCATCAGGAACAAGAAATCTTACTTTACCAGCTTCAATTTGGATTCACTGTGCTGTCAGAGTGGGCATTAATAACATTGAGATTTACAAGTTTCATGCAATACAACCAATAGCACTGAATGTTTCACTGACTACCATATCTAAAGAGATATAATTTGTATTTTCTGCAAACTATTGAATCAATGTAATATTGAATCAAAATTACCTCTAAAAAATAATTTTCTGTACAAAAACGTTATCTTTGCAGCTATTTTCATGCTATTATGATAAACCATTTGTAATGATATGTTATTATGTGTTCACTCATTTGATAGTACTAAGGTAATGTTGACTTAACAAGCCATGCATGGCACAGTCCACATTAGTAATCAAATTTAAGTTATATAGTTTTTTTATAGTAATATAGTATGAGTACTTGTCCATATTGAGAGATATGGCCTTGGAAGCGCATTCATTTAAACAAAATGGCCGCCAGCCAGCCATTTTGAATTCGATATGAAAAATAAAATGACGCGTACCATGGAACCCATAATCTCTGATGTATGTACCAAGTTTGAACAAAATCCATCTGTAAGCAGCCAAGAAATGCTTGATTTTGATGATTTTTCAGTACACAAATAGCCGCCATTTGGCCATCTTGAATCAGATCATAAAACAAATTGAATATAATTGGTCCAGGCACATCTAAGATACAGGTCCAGTCGCACAGAGGTCAACTCACGAGTCCTCGTTTTCAGACTACGTCAAAACGGAAACTAAAAATGACAGAGGATACATCTTCACTATCGGATGATTCTTCTGATGAAGTACTACTATAAGAACTGTTTGAAGAGTGCCCTCTCTCATCCTTGATTTCCAAGATTTCATTTTTCAGGCGTTCAACTTCATTTCTTTCATTTATTATCAGTTTCCTAAGTTCATCTCCTAGACTTATCATCTCTTCTTGTTCTGCCAGCAACTGACATTCTGTTTCTATCAGGTATTCAATACTCTCTGCAAGAACAGCAATATACACATATCATCTTTTTTTATTCATGGATACATTGATTCAATTGTACAACAATGACACACGAATCTTTTATATGACTAAAAAAGAATAGCAATCACTTATGAAAGCAGTTTTGCATTTATATACTCATACCCAAAAATTAAAAGTGAATGAGGCTCTTAAGGTAGAGATGCAGTTTACCTGACAGGTATTTTAATTAGTTAATTAGGAAACCATGATGACCTCCCTTGTCCACAAAACTATATATTTTCGGAAAGCTTATTGTATGAATTTTAATATTTTGTTAGTATTTTTTTTCATGGACACTGTAGTTTGAAATATGCACAAAAATGTGCTTTTTTGGTCAAAAGTGATTTTAAAAAAATTAGCTTCTAAACCATGCTTCTGTTCCCTGTAAAAATTGGTTTATGGGTACATCTGTTTACTATGAAGAAAGTGCCGTCTTGAAAACTGTCTACCAGTTGTCAATTTTGCACGGCAGCAGCTCAAATTTCACTACTTCAAGTTTATGCATAAATTACCACCCAGGCTAGTCTGTCAAAACCAAAACCAAAAACATGTCAATCATTTGTGACAATTTCAAAACAAAAGGCCAAAGCGTCTAGAGCTATTTTTTTTAAAGTTCTGGGATGTGCACTAAAAAGAAGCTGAGATAATTGCTAATTTGCATAATAATTCACTCGGTAAGAAGTTTGCTAATGCTCATAATTAAAATGGCTGTAACAGTTCTAAATTTAAATGTATTATCGTTTTGTTAAAAGTTAAATATGGTGCATAATATGGAGTTCTCGTCATTTCTTTTTTTTCACCATGTTTCTTTTTTATTATTCATGTACAGCCTTGCTAAATCTTGCTAAGCATTCAAAAAAGAAAATGTTTGCACCTGTTATCTATATTTAAAAATCGTTTTTTGAGTATGTTCCACTATTCACAATTCTACAAGATTAACAGTCTATAGCCAAGACTGTTTGGATAATAAAAAGCACAAAAAAAGTTTCACTCCCAAGTGCCCACGAATCTGCATCTATACCTTAAGCCACTATGCCAATCCAATCCAGAACAAGTATGTGTAAATCAAATACCATATTTCTGCTACAAGTATGCATTTTGCTGTGCCATAATATCAATATTGCTTTTATAGATTTACTTTTCTAATCTGTTATATAGATTTGGGAAAATGTCTAATTAATGACTAAAGAGCCTAATTATTATGCATGAATTAGGTCTGTCGATTTTCCCATAATATTAAAGTTGTTTCCTCGGAATCCATTTAGTGGTTCTTAAAATATTAGTGGAAAAGCTAAAATTGGCTCATTATAATGTAAATTGGATCACTAATATGAACAGATAACAACCAAAACTGAAGTAATGCATGAATAAAGTTTCATTGAAATCTGATAAATGCTTCTTGAAATACAAGTGGAACAGTCAGACAAACATGTGTAAACAACATCCAGAATTCATAGTGTATTCATGTGCTGTGTTTTTCAGTTGCATGGAATTATGAATACAAACGACATGCAAACGTTTTAAACAGAATAATTTGATTCTCACCTTCCTCCTGCTCTGGTTCAATCTCAGTTTTGTTCTCTGGTTCACTTCCTGGCACTTCAACATCTTGTTTCTTTACTTCTTTTTCTGGTGTTTCCTCATTGGAAGCGACTTCTTCTTTTACAATCTCCTCTTGTTTACCTTTCTCATCCACTTCTTCAATTTTGACTTTGGTGAGTTTGGCCTCTTGTTGTTTCTTACTTTGACGTATCTGGAAAATATGACAGGGGTTTAGATTGTCATCATTAATGACTAGCAAAAATTGCTAATTTTGACAAGTAAGCATAAATTTAATCATTATTTAATATATCTAAGTATAACAGACTTAATTACTGCTTATTCAATTTTGTTGATTATGCTTCAATTTATATCACCACAAATTACATATTGACACGTTGATACGGTAAGTTTCAGACACAAGTCCAACACTTACCAGGCGTTTAACGCAAACCAAAAATGTAAACCTTACTCTGGATAAGTATGTCACAGACTCAATGAGAAGGACAAAGCCAATTTGTTTTCATTCATTAGTGGCTGAAACTTAGGAGGGACCTTGGTTCGGGTATTTGTGTTCATCCAGCCCTGGTGACATTGCGATATTACATTATGATGGGGAAATAGTCACATAGAGTGATCGCTAACATACAATATGGTTCACGTGGCAATGTTCAGTACATAAAGAAACACTGATAATCAATGCTGAGAACTGTCACCAGGCACACACAGAAAGAAAGAAAAAACATTCCATCCCATTTCATCTTGATAACAAATGATCATAAAATTATGTATCATAGCTGTATTGAATTGGTCAATGTGTTTTTCATATTTCCAAGGTTACACGATATAACCATTCATATGGCATGGCATACAAGACCAAGTACTGACAACTCAGAGCTCCCCAATATGCAACAAATTGACTAAAAATTAAGCTACAATTATCCATGACAAGAACTTGATTGGCCAAAAACTCCCTGATTTGCAACAGTTAAATCATACCTTTCTTTTTAATGTAGTGACTATTCTTTGAACTTCCCACAGTTTCTCCTCAGTTTCCTGTCACAACAAAAGAAGAAATATTCCATTGACTGAAACCATTTAGTATAATATCATACACACAACCTGATCCCTGGAGATATTTTCATTTTTTGTCCAAAACCAATCAGGCGAATTTTACATTGATGATTTAAAGTGCCTGTGCAATGCCCACCCTCACGTTTCCCATTTTAGATCTGTGTCCCACTGAAAAGGGTAGTTATTGATTTTTTTGCTGCAAATGTATCCAAGTAAATTTGGGATATTTCTCGTGTTGTAGCCACGCCCACTGTTTCCGGATTTCCGACTCTCGCCGAAAGTGCGCCACCAAATGACAAAATGTGAGAGGAAGTCATACCTCTGAGCCGTAATAACACTGGTCGTTCAGTATACTTTTAAACGATATACATTTTTCGGTCGGCGTTTTTTCTTTTTTTTTGTCTATTTTATTTTCTTTTTGAGAGAGAGTTTTTAGATGTTGTGTTGTGGACAGTTGCAGTGAAACGTATAACCATAGTGTATGTATTCACATGTTTCTAATCGATCCGAAGGTGCGACATCACTTAACCTTAAACCTGGCGCAACACTTTTGAAAGAAATAGATTCCGGACCAGCCCATGATCACCGAGGCGGATTTCAGAAGAGAGAGAGAGACGTCCGGCAAGTGTTTCAAATCAGTAGACTTTTTTTGCGATTCTGATTATCGTTTTATAGAGACCATTTAGTCCCTGTTAAGTAAAAGGTAGCAATAATTTTGACAGTGACACGAAAACGAAGCGTCGGACAAACAGGAAATTACACAGCCCTTACACACTGTTAACTGTTTTCATTTTCGAAGGCTAAAAGT